TTGGGACCAATTGATGCATCTTAGATGGATGCTCACTAGCTTTTAAGACCCCAGACACCACTCACCAAAGTGGAATGCAGAACCTTTTCTTAATAGTTTTTGTTATGCCAGTTGACCTAGATGTCCCCTGAAACCATAGTCCCCAGACCCCCACCCCAGCTACTCTGTCCCTCAAAGTGTTTAGTTACATTAAGGAAGCTTCTTAGCAAAGCCCAAGCTTTTACCTGTTGCATTACTCAGTGGCAAACGAGAAGGAGCCCTGGTTGTACAGTGGTTTGAACCTACCAGCCTCTCCTTGAGAGAAAAGACCTGGTGATTTGCTCTCCTAAAGATTTCAGCCTGCGAAACCCTATGAAATCCTGTAGGGTCACTATGATTTTAATCAGCTCAACCTCACATAACAGCAACAACGTGGCAAGCGGGAGTATGGTGAATGTACTCTCTGCTAGAGCCAAGGGTTCTTTTTGTAATAAATAGAAAATAACATTGGATAGGTAGAGTGGACAGAGATTATGGAAAGTTTTGAAAACCAGAGGTGCCATTGAAGGTTTTGATTAGAAAATAAGCTTTTTTTTTTTTGGTGTTTGTTGTTCTACTTACAATAAAACAATCATTGCATATAATTAGGCTACTGCTGTCTAACGCTTACATATGTTAAATGAAATAAAATAATCTGTGAAAGCACTTAGCGGAATGCCTAGGCACATAGTAGTCACTCAAAAAATGTGAGTTGAATCTGAATCCTCAAAGAACTTGTAAGCTGTTTGCACTGTAGATAAGATGGTGGGACAAGAATGCTCTGGCACAGCCGTCCAATAGAAATATAATGCAAGCCACAGAAGTAATTTTAAGTTTTGTAATAGCCACATTAAAAAAGTAAAAAGAAATTGGTAAAATTACTTTTAATACATCTTCCTTAACCTAGAATATGGAAAATGGTGAACACGATAGCTTCATAGTTTCATATCATGGAGTCCAATGTCAGATGATGTGGGTTTGAATCCTGCCACTTCATTTCTTAACTGTGTGTGTTTGAGCCGGTTACTTAATCTCCATGCCTTGGCTTCCTGAGCTATAAAATGGGAAAAATATTAGTACCTACTTCAAAGGCAATTGTGAGAATTAAATGAGATTATGTATGTAAAGCACATAACTTGTTATCTGGCAGGTAGAAAGTGTGCAATAACTGTTTATTTTAATTTCATTACACTTTTATTGTCATCATTAAATAGCAACCATTCTTCAGTTTTCATGTCTTCTTCCTGTAAATATTTTATTATCTCTACCTAAACACTCTCACTTAGTATTCTAAACCAATCACTAAATAGCAAATAAGCTTGATAAGCTAGGAGAACAAAAGTTTACGAGTAATATATGCTTGAAATTATACTCTGCTGCTATTGCTAATAGTAGTAGTAGTATTCCCTTACAAGGTGTAGGTAAATTATTTTCAGTTTGCTATTATACTTAACAGACTCATCGACTCTTTCGACTCTTTGTATCTAGCAACTTTATAGGTGCTTCCTCAATTAGGGAATAAAATCAATGTCTAATAATAATTTAACAGCTTCATTGCCTACCCGGATTGAAATACAAAAAGCCCTCTTTGTCTTAACCCCTCTCCCTCCACCCTAAAGCTCTGATTGTACCTTTTCTGCTGTCAGTCATTTGGGGCCAAGATTATAGTCACTACTGTTTTCTTTCCTTCTGTTTTTACGGAAAGTACACAAAACAAACTGTATGGTCACTTATCCACACTCTTGTGGAACTATCATGTAGATCAAGAAATAAAACACTGGCAGCTCCCCAGATGGTCCCTTTGTGTTTTATCCCAATCAATACCCCAACTAACCACTAGCCTGATGCTTATGCTAATTACTTTCTGGCTTTTCTTTATAGTTTTACCACCTAAGTTTGTAGCCCTGATCACTGTAGTTTAGTTTTGCCTATTTGGAACTCTATATAAATGAAATCATACATATAACTCTTCGCTCAACGTGTTGTGAGATTTATGTGTGTTCTTGCATGTTGTTAGTTGCTGTTGAGTCAGCTCTGACTCATGGTGACCTTATATATAACGGAACAAAACCTTGTTCTGTCCTGTGCCATTTTCATAATCATTGGTATTTTTGAGTCCATTGTTTTGGCTATTGTGTCAATTCCTCTCATTGAGAGTTTCCCTCATTTTTGATGACCCTCTACTTTATCAACCATGTCTTTTTCTATCGACTGGTCCTTTCCTGATGATGTGTCCAAAGTAAGTGAGCCGAAGTCTACCATTTTCTGCAGTTAATTCACTTAAATTGCATAGTATTTCATTGTATGAATATACCCTGAGTAATTTCTTTCCAGTTTGGGGCTATTATGAACAGTGCTGTTATAAACATTCTTGTGCGTATAAGCATGCATTTCTGTAAAACATACCCAAGGATAGAATTGCTAGGTTATAGAGAATGCAGTCTTGCACTTTTGTAGATAATGCCAAACTTTCCAAAGAGGTTTTATTAATTTCCATTTCCATCAGTGATGTGTGAGAGTTTCCATTGCTGTACATCCTTGCCAAAAAATAGCCAATTTTAGTCATTCCAATAGGTATGTAATGATATCTCATTGTGGTGTGAGCATTTTTTTTCTGCTAAGAAATATTTGGTAAGAAGTTTTCTGAAAGTATTGGCTAAGATGAACCCTTTGATTTTCAATTTTCCATGCTATCCCTATCTTTTAATACCTAATTAAGAGTTGATAATACTTTTTTAAAAGAGTGTTTTTAATTTTAATTGGATACATAAAAGCAGTTATTTTAGGCTATTCCCCCAAATTCTTTCTTTATACTTTTTATTGGCTTATCTAAAAAACAGATGTATTATTTCTCTTCATAATTATTAAGCTGCCATTCCCGGAATCATAACAATCACTGAAATAAGAGGTATGGTCTGTGGTTTACTGGGATAGATTTAATGAGTAAATCTTTCCAGTTCCTCTGGAATTGAGCCATTTTTCATTGTTAGATTTTTTTTTTTTTTTAGTAAAGTGCAGCCATGATGACTGATCTGGATGACATTGAATGGTTGATTGTTTGAAGTAAAACAGACTTTTAACAGCTCATGGGTAATGTCTGAAAGGTAAAGTGATGCAAGATAAATGTCTGTGGTACACTCTGAACTTAGCAAAAGGCCTGTGAAGCCAAGATTTAACTAAATTGACTTGTAAATGAAATCCTGCTTTAGAAGTGCTTTGGTATAATGAAAGCTGTATTGTGTGTGTGTTTGTGTGTGTGTGTGTGTGTGTGTGTGTGTGTTTTAGTTTAGCTAATACTGAGAATGGAAAATATTTATGAAGATAAAGCTTTGAAGGTTGTAAATACCAATTATATTTTGTAAATAATTAATTTCTCAAGGTGCATGTTTATATTTTGTAAATAATATATGCACTGAAAAGAGAATTATGGAAATTTGGGGGGTTATTTGAGTGTCCAAAAATACCAGTTTTGTAGCTATTTATGAGAGTAAAACAATTATGTGGTTTTATTCAAGTTCGATGGAAAATTAAAAATTTCTTTAAAAACATCTATTTCTTAAAATAAAATAATTTAACCTCAGATTTTGTCACATTAATAGTCACTTAGTAGTAGAAGGACTTTAAACTGACAAATTAGGTGTTTTTAAAGGATTGAAGACAATTTTAATTTAAAGTTGGAAGCTAAGTAGTTAAAATGTCAAATCTGGCCCCACCAAAAATAAAGTAGGAAAAAAATTTGCTTCTCGTATGGATATTTTTGATACTTAAAAGGAATGAACCATGTACCACTTTTGGCTTTTTCTCTCTTCTGCTTGGGCAGACCTTAGAATATAATTGGTTTCAAAACTCTTTTGAGTTTAAAGTAAATTAATGGTTTGGATTTTTAAAAACTATACTTCCTGTATAGAGTCACAAATGTCTGTGTTTTCTGGTATTCAAGGGTTTTAGACAGAACTTGAAAGATTTCTGGTAAAGGTAATGAACTTTATTTTGGGGAGAGTGGTAGAATGGAAATTTGGAGGAATGAAAGCCAAAGAGATTTCTGTTTCTTTTTAAAGAAGATAGAGTATCTGATAGTTTTAGCAGATTGAGAATCAAAATAAAAATCTGTGTAGATTTTGTTCTTTGCTTTCTCATTTTTGTGATAAATTTTGAAGTATATGAATTGTTTGCTACAATATAGTGACATTTGGGAACAAATATAGTATTTATTTTAAATTTTAACATTAACAATTAAATTCCTAGTAATAGTATGGAATGATATTCATACCCACATTCAGAATACTATGTGTTGCTTAATAGATAGTCTGTCTTGGTATGGCAAGATTAACCATTTCTAAATGTATTTAAACTTTTTCAGTCCTTTAGAATCATTGGTGCAGTTATATTTGACCCTCAAGTAAGCAGAGTAAGCGTCGGGGACCTAGATCTGATTTATTTTCACCTTTCGGTTTTTTTAAATTGGTCTTGAAGTCTGAAGAACTCACAGATATCTTCTTGAGTTGTCTTAATCAATCAGCTTATCACAAGTGACTGACCAGATTGCATTTTTTGTTATTAATTCAGTTGATTTGAATGAATCTAACCCGTTCTTCCAAGTTGGGCAAGGCCATACTTGTAACTAAATGGCTGTTTCAAACCAAGTCTGGTATTTTACCATACATGGTAGATAATCCAGCTCCAGTTATTATATACCAACTTAAATTATTATATACTCAAAACCTTTTTAATCAAAAATTAATTTTAATCCTTTTTAAAATTAAAAATGAATGTTTGCTGTATAGCACTTTCTTCTCTGCTTGGCAGTGTTTCAGAATTTATTAAACAGTGAATACTTTTTTGAGAGTCTTGTCAGATTATATCCCATTAATTTGTATTGCTTTCCTTTTAGATCCCAAGAGTCTAAATAAACAGTGAAGTAAAAGTAAAATTTATAGAATATGAAATATCAGTTTTTGAACTTTTCATCTTTTACTTTTAAGATAAAGATACAGATATCACCATGAAGGGGGATGTAGGTGACTTTGGCCTGCGAGACACTTTGAGCATCGCATCAACCGATTCATTTGCTTCAGCAGCAGAGGTAGGGCATCTATATTCCTAATGAGCATTTCTCTTTCTTTTTCAGCTTGAGAGCCCAGTGTTAGCATTGGGCTGTAATTCAGTTCAGTAGCCATTTGCTTAGCTTGTGCCATGTGGTAGACACCAGGGATACAAAGATGAGTATAATTTAGTTCCTTCGCACAAGAACTTACAGTCTCTTCAGTGAGGTGGACACGTAAACATATAGTTTAGATCAGCACTTTTATATTCTGTAGATTATGAGTGAGGCATATAAATTAGTATCTATGGAAAGCAATTTGTCATCAAGAGTCTTAAAAAGTGTTCAGATTGTTTAGCTCACAAGTGATAAATTCTAGATATTTGTTCCAATAAGTGATCAGATGCAAAGATTTATATTTAAAAATATTCAATTTCTTTATTAATTTATGATAAAATATATGTAACAAAATATTTGCCATTTCAACCATTTTTATGTGTATATTCAATGGCATTAGTTAGATTCACCAGGTTATGTACCCATCACCAGTTTTCAAATTTTTTTCATCACTGTTAACAGAAACTCAGTACCTCTTAAGCAGATCTTCCCATTTCCCCCTCCCATCTGTCCCTGGTAACCACTAATAAATTTTGGTCTCTATGTATTTGCCTATTCTAGACATTTCATACAAATGGGATCATACAATATTTGTCCTTCTCTATCTGGCTTATTTCATTCCGCATAATGTTTTCAAGCTTCATTCATGTCAAAACATGTTTCAAAACTTCATTTATCTTTATGACTGAAAAATATTCCATTGTGTGGCTATACCACAGTTTGTTTATCCATTCATCTGTTGATGGATACTTGGGTAGTTTCTACCTTTTGGCTATTGTAAGTAGTACTTCAGTGATCATGATGTAAAGGTATCTGTTTGCATCCCTGCTTTTAATTCTTGGGTATATACCTATGAGTGGGATTGCTGGATCATATAGTAATTCTATGTTTAACTTTTTGAGGAACTGACAAACTGTTCCAGAGCTGCTGTACCATTTTATAATCCACCAGCAGTAGATGAGAATTTCAGTTTTTCCACTTCCATACTAACACTTGTTATTTTCTGATTTTCTGTAATAGCTATCCTAGTGAGTGTGAAGTGATATCTCATGGTTTTGATTTGCATTTCCCTAATGGCTAATGAAGACCCTTAATAAGATGCATTGACACAGTGGCTGCAACAGTGGGCTCAAGCATAACAAGGATTGTGAGGATGGCACAGGACTGGGCAGTGTTTCGTTCTGTTGCACATAGGGTCGCTATGAACCAGCGCAACAGCAATAACAGCAACAACAATGGCTAATGAAAAAGGAGCCCTGTTGGTGCAGTAGTTAAAGTGCTCAGCTGCTAACTGAAAGGTCGGTGGTTCAAACTCACCGGCCACTCCACAGAGGAAAGATGTGACATTCTGCTTCTGTAAAGATTACAGCCTTGGAAACTCTATGGGGCAGTTCTACTCTGTCCTATAGGGTCATTATGAGTCAGAAATTACCTGACGGCCGCGGGTTTCTTTGGGAATGTCTAATGATGTTGAATGTTTATGTGCTTATTGGCCATTTGTATATCTCCTTTGGTGAAATGCCTATTCAGTTCTTTGCCCATTTTTTGATGGGGTTGTTTTTTTGTTGTTGAGTTGTAGGAGTTCTTTATATAGTCTGGATATTAAACCCTTATCAGACATATTGTTTCCAAATATATCCTCTCATTTTGTAGGTTGTCTCTTCACTTTATTGATAAAGCCCTTTGATGCACAAAAATTTTTAATTTTGATGAAGTTCAATTATAATTTGGATGAAGTCCAATATTTTTGCTTTTGTTGCTTGCACTGTGGTATTTTAATAATAGTGAAAAACTGAATTATGATGTGACCATAATTTGAAATATTATAGAGGCATAAACATGTTTTCAATAATTTTTAATGGCAAAGGAAAGTACATATGTTAAGTGACAAGAGTAAGATGTAAATCTTTAGATAGAGAGTGTGATTGTAGTTTTGTAAAAAGAAAAAAAAAGAAACATGTATGTGGTATATTGTATAAGTATATAGGCAGAGAAAAACAGGCTAGGTAATGAATCTCCTAATGTATAAACAATGGTGATCACTGAATTGTAAGTTAATGTGGAAATTGTCTTCTGAGATGTAAATTTTGTACCTAAAAAGAGGATGCTTGCAAAGTAGTCATCTTTTTACAGTTTTTTTCTACTTAAAACAACTTTAGAAATTGCATATGACCAATTTTATCAGAATATTTTGATTTTTATGATAGATTTTGGATATTAGATACTTTTTTTTTTCATGTAAATAGTACCACACATCTGTAACTAATGTATGAATTTGTTCTGTAGGGTGAAAATCTTTAGGTATGCTAATACCCTGTACCCTAAGTCTTGATTCTGCCTTTTTAAAAGCAGTACTGATCCATCATCTTCCATCCTCTCAAATTTTTTTCTGTGTATGTACGGTCATGCGTCGTTTAACATCCATGATACCGTCTGTGAAATAGGACATTATGTGATTTAGACGTTGTGCGAACACCATATTATGGGTGAAGGTCCTTCCAGGCATTCACTTCCAGAATAGATTTCTTCCATATTAAAAATTTGCTGGCGCATGACTGCCCTGACAGGGAACACAACAGAGAGTCTTGACGGAGCAGGAGAAAAGTGGGGTGCAGAACTCAAATTCTAGTAATGGTCTGACTGAGACTGGAGGGACCCTGGAAGACATGGCCCCCGGACTCTCTGTTACCCCAGAACTGAAACAATTCCCGAAGCCAACTCTTCAGACAAAGATTTGACTGGACTATAAGACATAAAATGATACTCGTGAAGAGTGTGCTTCTTAGCTCAAGTAGATGCCTGAGACTAAATGGGCAGCTCCTGTCCAGAGGTGAAATGAGAAAGCAGAAAGGGTCAGGAGCTGGTTGAAAGGACACGGGAAATCCAGGGTGGAAAGGAGGAGTGTACTGTCACATTATAGGGAGAGCAACTAGGGTCACATAACAATGTATGTATAAATTTTTATGTGAGAAACTTGAACTGTAAACTTTCACTTAAAGCACAATTAAAAAAAAATTTTTTGCTGGGGCAAATAACGTCGCTCTGCAATTAGTTTATCTAAGGTTTCAACAAATTCTTCTGCTGCCTTTGCATCAGCACTTGCAGACTCATTACTCACTTTCACACTATGCAGCAAAAAACATTGTTTGAAGCTCTCGAATCTCCCAGAGCTAGACTAAACACTAAGTCTGGTTCTGCTTTTTCTTTAAGCATCTTAAACAAGCTTTGTTCCTTAGCAGTGATTGTCAACATGCTGAGAGGGATTCATTTTGTGTTTGGTCTTCAATCCACATCAGTAGCAATTTCTCCATATCTTATATAGATCCCTTTTGCGTTTTCATTAGCCTTGTAGCTTTCAGTGGAGCCAATCCTTTAACAGCTCGGAGAATTTTTTGTTGTTTGAGGATTGTCATGATTGTCAAGTGTGACATGCCTAAATGCACTATGTCCCATTCTCCAGTCGTGATTTCTGAACTTCGTTATAACCTTAGGAGCCCTGGTGATGCAGTAGCTCAGCTGCTAACCAAAAGGGCTGCAGTTTGAATCCATCAGCTGCTCCTTGGAAACCCTATGGAGTAGTTCTATTCTGTCCTGTAGGGTCGCTATGATTTAGAATCAACTTGACGGCAATGGGTTTGGGTTTTTTTTTTGTTTTATTACAACCTTATGGGACCATGGACATATATGCGGTCACACGTTACCTGAACAGACATTATACGGTGCATGACTGTATATTATAGTCATTACTTACAGTATCATCTCCTGAATTGTTTACATTTTTTTTTATTGTGCTTTAGATGAAGGTTTACAGAGCAAATTAGTTTCTCATTGTTTTGTGACATTGGTTGCCAACCCCACGATGTGTCAGTACTCTCCCATTCTCGACCTTGGGTTCCCCATTACCAGCTTTCCTGTCCCCTCCTGCCTTCTCGTCCTTGCCCCTAGGCTGGTGTGCCCATTTAGTCTCGTTTTATTTTATGAGTCTGTCTAATCTTTGGCTGAAGTGTGAACCTCCATAGTGACTTCATTACTGAGCTAAAAAGGTATCCAGGGGCCATATTCTTGGGGTTTCTCAGTCTCTGCCAGACCAGTAAGTCTCGTCTTTTTTTATGAGTTAGAATTTTCTTCAACATTTTTCTCCAGCTCTGTCTGGGACCCTCTATTGTGATTCCTGTCAGAGCAGTCAGTAGTGGTAACCGGGCACTATCTATTTGTGCTAGACTCAGTCTGGTGGAGGCTGTGGTAGTTGTGGTCCACTAGTCCTTTGGACTAATCTCTCCCTTGTGTCTTTGGTTTTCTTCATTCTCCCTTGCTCCAGATGATGTGGGACCAGTGGAATATCTTAGATGGCCACTCACAAGCTTTTAAGACTCCAGACACTACTCACCAAAGTAGGATGTAGAACATTTTCTTTTACGCCAATTGAGCTAGATGTCCTCTGTGAATTGTTTACATTTTTCCTTATATTTTTGCATTTGAAAGTTTGCAATAGACAGAATATATCCATTTGTTCCATGGGAGCATCATTTACTCTTCTTTTTACTATTTAGATATAGACATGTTTCTCTCTCTGTTCTGTAATGTCCAAGATGGTTTGTAAGAAGGATTGCTATTCACTTTCATTATTTCTTCTGTGATGAACAATGTATCTATTTGTGCTAAAGTTTCTTTCTAATAAGCAGCTTCAAGAAATATTTTGCCAAGTGTTCATTGTACTCCTTTTAAATTTGTTGTTTAAATTTCAGAAGTTTAGTAAATTAAGAAAAAAATTTTTTTTTGATTGAATGGACACAGGAAATCCAGGATGGAAAGGAAGAGTGTGCTGTCACATTATGGGGAGAGCAGAATACATGAATAACCACAAGAAGGGCTCTACATCCCAAAACATTTTAAGAATGCTTCTAGGGTATAAGTGTATGATCTCA